GCAGATGGAGGTCTGTTGGGGCCTCCCTGGGGGTCGCCAGCAGGCTGCCCAGGGGTGATGCTGTCATCAGTTTGGGGAGAAGCTTTTTGCTCCAGGAAAGAGAGAAAGGCAGGGATGGGCAGGGGAGAGAGAGAGAAAGAGAGGGAGATGTGTTTCTCTTTGATGTCGTTCAGGCGGAAAGCCAATCTGCACATGTAAATGAACTTGAAAATGCAATTAAAAATATATACATATCAGAGCCTGTGATCCAGAATTTAATGGGAGATGCAGGTTACAAAGTGACAAGCAGCACTTCCTACAATCAGCAGCACCAGCTCTTCGCCGTGATTAATGCGTCTCGGTGGTAATAAATGCACCACACAGGTAGACGCTGGGATTACTTCTCAAACGGCACTTCGGCAGCACCGCCAAATGCAGAGTCCTCTTTCCCCACATCGCCCAGGTCCTCCTCCCTGTTGCTACTGCTGGGGGAACACGTGCTCAGGAAGGTCCCTCCAAGGGCTTGTCCTGGTTTGACGGGAGAGGTGACAAAACAGAGTTACGTGTGTCATTGTGGACACTGTTCCAGCCGCAGGGGCTGGGATATGGGGACGTCCCGGGGAGGCTGCAAGGAGCCGCCCATGGCTGGTGACTTAAAGCGTGTCGGGCTCCCCGGATGTTCAGCGTAGGGGGCTGGAAGGGAACACGTGTCTCACGCCCTTTCTCCTGGGTGTGCCCGCACTTTGACAGCTCGCATGTGCCCAGAAGAGGGCACTCATATGGTGAGGGCACCAGCAGTCACCGCTGGTTATGGAGTTGTATCACTCAGCACATGCCTGTGTGTGCCCACACTGTGCCAGTGCCATGCTGGGTGCTGGGGACATAGCAGTGGACGGAATAGGCCCTTGAGACTTGCTCACAGTCTCAGAGGGGGAGACGGGTAATAGGAAACAAAAAACGAGTTACAGAATAGGTTAGAAGTTGCTCTGATAAAAAGCAGAGCAGGATAAGGTGTGTGTGTGTGTGTGTGTGTGTCTGTGTGTCTGTCACGGGTGGCTGTTTTGAATGGAGTGGTCCAGAAGGCAACACTGAAGCAGAGGTTGGAGGAGTGAGCCCTGTGACTTTGCGGGAAGCGTGTTCCAGACAGAGGGAACAGCCTGTGCAAAGGCCCTGAGGTGGGGCCTGCCTGGTGTTTCCAGCGGAGGCCAGTGTGGCCGGGAGAGAGTGAGTGACAGGCGAGTGTGAGGGAGGAGAGCCGATGGGACAGGGAGGCAGCGGGACTGTCCTCCCCAGCATGACTGATCCTGCCTGTAAAGTGCCAACTGGCTGTCATGTGTTAGAGGGGCAGAATGTTGCCTAGAAGCTGGAAGGCTGACTTTAGCTCTGAGTCTGGAGGGTTCCCTGAAAGTGAGAGTTATCCAGGGGCAGCACTGGCGGTTCGAGACCTTTCCCCACCGATCCGCACGTGGCCAGTGGAGGTGAAGCGACTCCAGCGGCAGTGGGATGGGAGGCCAGTGGGCTCCCCTGAGCTCAGACTCTGGTTCAGAAACGCTGAGGCTCTTCAAGGACTCCGTCCCTGCCCAGTCCTCTGAGCAGCTCTGACTGATGCGCAGAACGGCCGACGACTGGTCCTGGGAACGCTGAGCCCCACAGCGGAGGGCCGCGTGGCCCAGCGCCAGCCGTCATCACGTGACCAGGGGCCCGTGCCCCTGGCGCCTTTGATTTCTCAAGAGAAGCCAGAAACCCATGCTTATGTGACAGCTCCTGAGGCTGAGATAGGGGCCACGCACTAAGGCCTTTCCTGAATGCTGTCCGCCCGAGGGGACACTCCTGCAGGCCGCATCCCATGTGTCTGCTCCGGTGCAGGTCCCCTATCGCCCTTCTGAGTCCCCTCCCCCTGCCCTTGTCACCTGGCTCCTTCCTCTTTGCTATCCAGGCCCGGCTGAGGCGGGCAGTCACCCTGCCGTGGTCTACACGGTCTGATGTCCCTCCTGCCAATTCATGACCCTTCACAGCTCCGTCACACTGGGTTGTAATCCAGTAATTTCCTGCATCCCCATTCACCCTCTCGTGCTAAGTACAGAGGGACCGAGGCCGTCGCAGCCTGAGTGCTCAGACTCTACCTCAAGATTCGCAGGCGATAAGTGCCTCTGACCATGAGCCCGAGGGTCAGTGAGCCTGTGGTCCTGGAGATCTCAGCTCCTGTTGGAGAAAGCTGTCGATCGGGTGGCTAGAGGGCCGTTGAGGTTCTTCACCAGCGTTCATCTCTCATTTAGATAAGTGAGTGGGGCTCAGAGATGTGTCCATAAGGAAAACCGTCCCGCTGCTCCCCCTCCCCCACGCCCTGACCAAAGTCGGTGCCTTGTTGAAGTTATTTTATTAACGGGTTCTGCTGAGCGGGCGTGAATGCGGCCACGGGTCTCATATTGCGGATCTAATTATAAACACGGGGGACCGTACCAAATAAGCAGCCTGTAAAGGGAGAAGAGTGTGGCAGCCTGGTTTAAAGTGTCCTTTAATGAACTTCTTTGGCACTTGTATCTTAGCAACACATTTTATTACATCCTGGTGCAGCTGGACTCGCCACACAGTAATTTATCCCCCCTGTTCCCCCCACTCTGTCTCTCTTTGGTGATGGACGGAGGAATGTACCGACACTGCTTCCCCAAGGCTGTGTTTGCATCTCTTCTGCTTTGTTTAGTTGATGAAAAAGGCACACACGGCGCTGGGAGCAGGGACCTCGCTGGCTGGCAGGAGCTGGCACGGAGGGGACCGTGGTTGGGGCCTGGGAGATGGACGGGCGGCTCTCCTGGAGCTGGGCTGCCGACCAGTTAAGATGCTGGCACCGCAGGCTGCCTTGTTCCCTCCCCAGCGCTCCCTGGGTTTGGGTATTTTTATCTGGACTCCTTTCCTGCATGACACTAATCTGGATACAGTGGACGTTCGCAAATCTCACCATAGCAGCTGTAAGTGGGGGTGGGGGAGTGTTCTAGATGAACTGGACATGGGGGTGCAGCACAGGAGAGAGACGAGGGTGGGGGCGCTGGGCCGAGGGGCCCTTCCAGCCTGACCGCTGCTCATGTTGAGCCCGGGGACCTCAGCCAGTTACTTGGCTTCTCCGAGCCTTAACTTTCTTGTCTGCTGAGTTAGTTTCCTGGGGCTGCGGTGACAGATTACCCCAAACTGGGTGGCTTTGAAACAACAGACATTTGTTCTCTCACACTTTGGGAGGCTAGAAGTCCAAAATCAAGGTGTTGGCAGGGCTGAGCTCCCTCCAGAGGCTCTGGGGAGGGGCCTGCCTGCCTTTTCCAGCTTCCGGTGGCCCCAGGCGCTCCTTGGGTTGTGGCCGCACCACTCCAGGCTCTGCCTGTGTCCTCACGTGGCCGTCCTCCCTCTGTGTCTGTCCCTTCCCTTATAAGGACCCAGTCATTGGATGGAGGGCCCATCCTAACCCAGTACGACCTCAGCTTGAAATACATCTGCAAAGCCCCAATTTCCAAATAAGGTCCCATTCTGAGGTTTTGGGTGGACATGAATTTTGGGGGGACACAATTCAGCCCCCTACATCTGCCAATGGCAGCTAGTCACGCCTACCTGAGCCTATGGTTGGAGGTCGCATAGGTGGTGGATGGTTGACACCAACCCAGCGTCTGGCGTCTCGTAGGCTCCGGGGGCATCCACCTTCCCACCCTTTCCCCACAGCCAGGAGCTGAGGTGGAGAAGGTGCCCAAGCCGTGCTCCACTGGCAGCGGTGGGGTGGCCGTGTTCTCTGGTTTGAATGTTTGAAAGCAGGACCATCCCAGAAAATCTGGGGTGCATCATTTGTGGCTCACCAGAGGTGGAGAGTTTGACGTGAATTTGCACATGCAGGCCGGCGGTTCCACCCTGATTTGTTCTCATTCAGGAGCGAGGAAAGGATGCTTGAGAACAAACTAGACGGTCAGGAGGAGTGTGCACCTGCTGGGCGGCACATGCAGCCTTCTTTTGCCCCTCAGGAAGCAGCGGGTCCTGGGCTGGAGGCAGAGGCCACTCACCCTGGCTTGCACCTCCCAGGAGCTCCATGATTAGCACAGTCACTCATCCTTAAGGGCCTCAGTTTTCACATTTGTCAAATGGACATAACGAAGGACCCTGTCTCCAAGGCCCATGATAGGGACTAAAGGCCTTGTGGGAGGCAGGTTGGTAAACTGCAGATTGCTCGGTGTGTGTGTGTGTGTGTGTGTGTGTGTGTGTGTGTGGTTTTGGTATTGCTGACTGGTGGTGGCGGCCTGTCCTCCTGGTTGACCAGGAGGCTGGGGGTCCGTGTTTGTCTCACGAGCCACTTCCTCCGTGGGCTGCTGTTGAGCCTGGCAGCACTCCCTGCGACAGGTGAGAGTGTGCTGCCCCCGCCCCCAAACTTCTAACAACACTGAGTTCTTCTATCCCCAATTCACAAGGCAGGAAGTTGAGGCTAAGAGGGTACAGTTACTCGTGCAAGGGCTTAGCCCTGGTGCTGCAATGTGAACCCAGGTTCCCCTGAGTCCTGAGCCCCTGCGCTGTCTGTATATCAGCTGAAGATGGACCCCCCGGCCTGCCCGGGCAGCTGCTCCCTGCACCAGTGCCAGCGTGCCGCCAGCCCCAGCCTGGGGACACCAATCGGGTATGTGGCCTTCGGGGTTCACCCAGGCCCCCCCTCTATTCCATGCCATGTGGTCCTCAGAGTCTCGGGCTGGGGAGGGCAGGGTGGGGGTATCTCTGTCGGCGGGGTGCAGGGTATCCCTGTCCGCCCCAGCGTGAGGAAGCAGCATCCTTGCGGGTCCCCAGGGCCCTGGGGGGTGAGGCTTTGATCTTTCTGCATCAGTTTCTGCATCTGTGAAATGGGCATGAGCCTTCAGTGTCCACTTCGTAGGGTAACTGTGAGGGTGAGATGAAAATGCACGAGGGGAACCAGCCTGCGTGGGTCCCTCCCTGTCACTGAACCCTCTCTGCACAAAGGCTAGAATCGAGGGCTCTGAGGACCAAGGCCGTGCCCGTGCCCGAGTGAAGAAGCCCGGATGCAGGTCTCTGGACGGTCGCTGAGCCTGTCCCAGCCCATCATGGACGAGATTCTGGTGACAGCCCGGAGAGGTGGGTGGGTGGGGCTTTGACGCTCAACTCACAGGCCTGAGAGACTCAGGAAAAGGGACCCGGTGAGGTCCCACTGCTGGCGGCACAGCGTTCCTTCCGAAATGCACAGCGCTCGCCTCCTGCGGGCAGTTAGTGGGTTTTCTCCGGTTCCTTCTTGTTCACACAT